TTCCATTCCTCGGCAATTTTTTTCTGTCTTTCTTCCTCTTCTTTTTGCTGTTGCCGACGTAGCTCTTCATCCTCTCGTTTGCGACGTTCACGTTCTTGCTGTACTTTATCATCACTCTGGAAAACAGCAGATACCACAGTGAGTCAATATCGTTTAGCCTTATTACCCTAACTTATAGTTTAAAAGCCGGGAAGTAACTACTTCCTTGATAAGACTGTTAAACTGCTTTCTGAGGTCTCTCTGTTCTCGAACCATTGGCGGATCTAGGTGCAGGATGCCCTGCCACCACTTATAAACAACCAAAACATGACCTTTTCCTATATATTCCTCTTCACATGACTTTTCAACATGTCATACGATTTTGTGCCACACGAATCGCCCTACTATCTTTTCCATCGTATCATAGCTTCAACCTTGTTAAAAGAAGAATAGAAGGATTTCACTTGAATGCCATGTGTATGAAGATATTTGTCATGTGTACGAGCCCCATCCTAGGCTTAAATTTTCGGATTTTGGCCGCTCCACTGCTTTGGACCATCCACTTTTACGACTATGGGTCGGCCTTTCTCGGCCGAAAATTATTATAACTGGTGCTAAAAAGCAAACAAGAATAGCCTAATCCTGTAGAAACTGTCGAAAACATACCTCGGAAGCAGCAAGCTGTTCGAACCTGGCACGCAAACTCAGGGCAGTTCCTTTGGGTGTAACTGCTGGTGCTGCATGTGCTTTCGCTGTTTTATCTTTTTCTGGTGCATCATAACCAAATGCACTTTTATCTTGACGATCACTCTGAACACCATATTTACCGCCGAATCCTGGAAAGTACAGAGTTTGGTGTTGTAGAAATTTTAAAGATACAAACAATGAATATCCCTGGCTAGGAGATTGGAAGAGAGCGGGGGAGGGGAGCTGAAATCGCGTCTGTGTTTCAAAATATGCAGTTTGTTTGGAGTTATCAAGCCCATCGTGGAGAGGAACACAATCGAATTTCGACAATTAATGAAAAACTGGAAGTGCCATTTAGATTTAAAATGACGATCAAGCGGGGAGTGGCATCTAATTTTTGAAAATGACCATCAAGAGAGGTGATTTTATCACTTTTTTCTTAGCTTCTGTTGCCCCAATTTAATTCATATTTTTCTTTCCGAATAGATAACCTAAAAAAAATAGAAATTTAATAGGATTAAGACGGAGAAAAACAAACAAAAAACTGACCTTTCGAATAATCTTTTTGACTTTCGTGTTGAGCAAGCTTCTCCTGATACTCGTATCCTACAGCTGACTTATCCAGTCTATCATCTTGCAAGCCAAATTGGCCACCAAAACCCTTCTTGTAATCTGAAAAACCGATAAATCTGTAAAATTCCAACCTTTTTTAGAGGAAATGTTAAAAAATGCCTGCTATCTCACCATGCAACAAAAAACTACTAAAAAAGTAGGTTTTTTAAAAAAACCTTAAAAAAGTTATAAGGAAGTAGTTTCTCAGGGGAAAAACATCGAAATTTCACCTGTTTGACTTTCGTGCTGCTGCAATTTGTCATGTGCATCCCAACCAAGTGCACTTTTATCAACTCGGTCTTCCTGAATGCCAAATTTTCCACCAAACCCTTTCTTATAGTCTATAAATGGACACTGTAGGAGGGTACTCTTAGAATTCAGCCCCAAAATGAAGCGAGAGGTATTTTTTGCCGCCTACAAACGGCCCCTGGCATAAAAATCACCAAAAAAAGTTGACAGGATTTGAAGCCCTAAAAATATCAGGAATACTTACCAACTTGACTTTCATGCGGTGCTACTTTTTCATGTTCATCCCAGCCAGCGGCACTTTTATCCTGGCGATCTTTCTGCAATCCAAATTTACCGCCAAAACCTTTTTTGTAATCTGTAATAAATTCAGTAATTATAGCAAAAAAAAACGTTCTATTGTTATATCTCTGAGCCACCACTCTGAGTTTTTCCGCATAAAAAACTTCAAAAAACAAAACCAACAACAATTCTCTTATGCGACGATTCCGAGTTCACAGAAAATTCAGGATCGAAGGGCCTGGCATAGCTGTAACATGAAAGCGAAATATGAAGAGTTATACTTCAGATAGTGATTCTGAGTGATGGATATTAATGATATCAATTTCATGAATTTTCTTTGTCTCTTCCTCTTTTCCTTTAAACACTGCGACCGTCATACTGACGAGGTCCTGTCACGTGGAGTTAAGATGTATATGACTAAACGTCTTATCTCACTTTTGCCTCCTTTCCTCATTCTCTTCCTGCTTTACCTGTATTCAATGAGCCCTTGACACTTCAGCATTCAAGGCCAACCTGGATATTACAGCCGGCTTAATATTTCAAAGATCAAGAAAACCGACCAACTTGACTTTCATGCTGTTGCAGTTGTTCATGCTCTTCCCAGCCGTGCGCACTTTTATCTTTGCGATCTTCCTGGATACCAAATTTGCCACCAAAACCTTTTTTATAATCTGCAAAACAACAACAAAAATAGCTGGGAGACTGAGGGGAAATCGTTTAATTTTTCAATACAAAACAAAAAATCCTCAGAAAATCCTATGCTAATCATGAACGTATAAACCCGTCAGATCCCGCACAGTGATTAATTCTAAAAAATGTGGTACGCTCGCATGCGATGCAAAAAAAAAAAATACAAAAAAATACACGACCAATTAAGTTTTTACCAATTTGACTTTCATGCTGCTGCAACTTCTCCTGTTCTTCCCAACCCAAGGCACTTTTATCTTTTCGATCCGTTTGTACACCGTATTTTCCGCCAAAACCTTTCGCGTAATCTGAAAAAATGAATGTTGGGTGTAAACTTATAAAGTTTTATGAGGGAGAAATCTAAGCAGGAAAAAATACTTCAAGCGGTGAAAAACTTACAAACATACTAGAGTGCTAGAATTAAAGTACATTGGCGGATCTAAGCTCCCCCCCCGTCCCCCCTGATCTTTATCGGCCATAAGTATGCAGTGCCAAAATTGAAGAGGACTGTTTTCTACATCACTCGTCGCCCCCTTTTCCCCTCCCCCAGAAACCCTACTTCTTTTCTTCTCCCCCGGGTCGCTGCCTTTTGGAATGATGAGCAAGGAGGAGGGGGGAAAAGGGAAAAGAGGAGACTGGGCTTCCGAGTAGTGAGGAGCGGCGGGGCGGGGAGAAGAAAAATCGCCCAAATCGTCCCCC